GGGGACAAGGTCAGAGAGGCCAGATTGAGATGGTTTGGACATGTGCAGAGGAGGGATAGTGGTTATATTGGTAGAAGGATGTTGGAGATGGAGCTGCCAGGCAAGAGGTCAAGAGGAAGGCCAAAGAGGAGATATATGGATGTGCTAAAAGAGGACATGAAGTTAATTGGAGTGAGAGTAGAGGATGCCGAGGATAGAGTTAGGTGGAAAGAGATGATTCGCTGTGGTGACCCCTAAAGGGAACAGCCGAAAGAAGAAGAAGAAGACTATTACGTATTCCTATTCATTGGCTGAGAGTACGTTGCAGTTGCTCACTGCAGCCACAGGAGGGTAGCAAACGCCCTGATTTTGAATACACTCCCGTCAACAGTAATTTATCTCCCTTAATGCCAAATAAGCAATGTTTAGAGTGGAAGGCTGACCCCCATATAAAAACTTTTTCAGTGGCAATGTTTTTTATGTCACTGCTATTTGTAACAATCACAGAGGTATGAGTTGCCCATATTAACATCAAAAACGTTTACAATGATATTTCTATTCATATGACACAAATGGAATAGTACTGTAGTTTCGAACTGTCACCACGAGAGGACAGTAAACAACTGAAATACATGGGCCATCATGGCCAACAAACTCCAGGTTTGTCAGGTGTCAAGCCAAAAACAATTGCAGATACAAAAACGTGGTTATACTTCTGCCCACACATTTCAAAATAAAACAAACAAGTAGCTTGTTGAGGTTTAAAACTATTTAACATAGCCCTGAATCTCGTTGCTATTCAATTCGAACTACACAGACTCACAAGCTCTGATGGTGTTATCAGTGGCTGAACTGTGAAATAAAGCATTTGGGTAAGCTTATGTACTACAAGTATTAGTGACAGACATTTTGGTTACGAAAAGTGGCAGTATTCGCGTCACATGTTGCCTTTTGGCACCGCGTTTAAAGTAGAAGAAGAAAACAGCGGAAGAAGATGCTCTAGTTTCGTTTCCGTTTGACCTATTTCGTGTCTCATATTGGCATTAGTTAATAGTGTTTATGTGCAACAATGGAATTTGTGTGTTCGTAATTTAGCAGTTTGTATTTTTTTAATAGCTGGTTTGATTTATTCTTTATATCCATAAAGCGATACAAAGCAAAGGAGCATTGCTAACTGTAAGCTTAGCAAAATACAGTAAGCTAAATATTATTTAGCCGCTTTGATTTAGCTAAGCTAGCTGCGCCTAAAATGAGTTGTCAGTCGTTAGCTACGTCGTAAAATTTTGTGGTTTGAGCTGCTCATATTAACGCTGACTAGCGATTTATCGATTCAGCTCCCTTACACATTTATTTAGCTATCTTAGCTTAGCTAGGTTCACTTTTGCAGATCCCTTGGATGTTCAGTGTGGTGAGTACAATTGGATGTATCGTTAGACTAGATATTACATGATATTATTGGATTAGTATGTTAAAGTTTCTATCTGTCGTCTCAACAACTGACCAGACTTCAGTCAGCGCTAATATTTTTAGCTAATCTTGTCTGTACCTGTGGTTTGGCCAGTTTAGTGGCTGTTAAGTCACTGTATGTTGATAAGTATTTAGTATTACTGTTGACAACTTGTAACGTTACGTGGCTCAAACACGAACGTTACTGTTGTGGGACGACAGAATCCCCAGACAGTTTACAGATTACATGCACGATGCGTGAGTTAATATGCATATCCACCCTCATAATCATTCGCTCCAGATTCCAGTGTATCTTGATTTGACTTCTAGCTATTTGAATATTTCATGCTAGGTGTGGTGCCTCATCTGGTGCATGTGCTGCTCCTGTGAATAAATAATCAGAACAGTTCCTTTGCCTGCATCGATATGGATTCATAGCCTGTAAACAAGCTGCTATATTCTTCTGTATTACAGTCAGGAAGAGACTCTTCAGCTCCATGTCTGCTGAGGCTTCTGTTGGCAGTCATGCTGCCGACTCTGCCCAGTCTGCTCTTTCCCAGCCTGCCTGTCACAACGCAGATGAGCACAGAAATCAGGGTTTGCTGGGGAGCAAGTACGTCAAGTTAAACGTGGGTGGCTCACTGCATTATACAACTGTCCAGACATTAAGCAAGGAAGACAGTCTGTTGCGGAGCATATGCAATGGAGGAACAGAGGTTACCATAGATTCAGAAGGTGAGTGGACGTGACTGGATCTACATTGTTATTGCTTCATGGCTGAAAATAATTTTCCTTATTGTCTCAGGCTGGGTTGTTTTGGATCGGTGTGGCCGACATTTTGGCCTGGTTTTAAACTTCCTGCGAGATGGCTCAGTGCCACTCCCAGAGGGCCACAGAGAACTGGATGAAGTTATGAAGGAGGCCCAGTACTATCGGGTCCAGGGACTTGTCCAGCATTGCCTCAGTGCCATGCAGGTATATAAAGGATGCTCTTTTTTATTTGTGTATAAGATTATGCATAAGCATATACAAATCAAGATGTAAAACATAAAATATTTAATGATCTGCTTTCTCTTAAGGATCCCAGGAGTCCATATCATTTCAGATGTAGTCATAAATTGTTTAAAATCATCAATAACAAAATTCTTTTTGGATTTTGCGCTATGTATAAAAACTGACCCGAATTAAATTTATTTCTTTATTAACAATAGCATGTCAAAAGAGTAAGCTGATCAAACATAGGTGATGCGTTCCAGTGTTACTCATTAATTAAGATTTGCTTTAGTAAGTAGTTACACCTTTACATTTGATATGATAATAAAATTTACTGCTTCCAGGTTTTAGCTGTTGTTCAGTCTAAACAAGAAATGTAATCATATCACTTTGGGCCTTGATTCTTTATGATTGGTGTTTTACATAATTAATTTTTATTTTTTATGTTAAATAGAAACAATTATTGTTTATTTTTTTCCAGTTAATTGATACTCAATGAAAACATGTTAGTTCCAGATAAATTTCAGTGTTCATTTTTGTTTAAATTCAGAAACAAAAGGATGTATTTGAAAGCGTGTGCCGCATCCCCATGCTCACCTCGGCCAAAGAAGAACAGAAAATGATTGCTACTTGTCGAAAGGTACATTATGTTATTTAATCGAATGAACCACTGACAAAAGTGAGTGTTAGGTTAGCAGCTGTCAAACCTAGTTGTCCAGTCCCGTGTAGCAAGCATTTGCCATTCTCTGTACAGAACTGATGAAATAACAGCTTTGAGGAGATTTAGAATTTTGAGCCATGAAACTTGTCTGTTGTGTTTTTTTTATCTCAGGGAAAAGTTGTTCAGTATTTTTTCCAATTGTTAACTATATAAGACACAAACTGTAACTCAGGAAATAAAATGCAGTAGCTCTCTTTATATGTACACACACTTTACAAAGCCAATTATCCATTTATAGACTATAGAATCACTCAAATTGATTTGTTTTGTTTGTCTGCACAGCCGGTGGTAAAATTGCAGAACAACAGAGGAAACAACAAATACTCATACACCAGGTAAAAAAAAAAAAGAAGGCTGGCTGTTTAATCTGTCCTACAGGGAGAATGAATAATTAGATAAGCCACATTCTCTCACAGTGTTTTACATGTTCACTTGACCTTCATGTTTTATCTGAAATATTTGGATCTTGTGTACAGAATGCTTATTGATCTTCTCAGTTGACTCTAATGATTTGTCTCTCCCTCTGACCAGCAACTCTGATGATAACCTGCTGAAGAACATAGAATTGTTTGACAAACTCGTGCTGCGATTTAACGGCCGGGTCCTGTTTGTCAAAGATGTACTTGGGGATGAGATCTGCTGTTGGTCTTTCTACGGCGAAGGCCGCAAGATTGCTGAAGTATGCTGCACCTCTATTGTCTATGCTACAGAGAAGAAGCAGACCAAAGTAAGCATTACAGTATTTGTACAGTAAGTCTTAAAGCAACAGATTGAAAACACTGAAGACTGAAAACATAGGGAATGGCTAACCTGGCTCCGACCAGTGGTAACAAAGTAAAACAGTCTGATAATCAATCACTTCTCTGCAACAGATCCTTGGAGGTGGAGCAAGTGAGTACACTTTAATGACATGCAAATGTTTTTTTTTTTAACATAATTACAGTTTTTCTCAGTTAGCTTTGGCTCAAATCATGAAATATCACCAGCATTCTCAAAACGTAGTATACAGTTTATATATACAACACAACAATTCATTAGTAGAGGGGATATAACTCACTGGGCCATCAGGCCAGTGCTTATGTCGATCCGTGAGTTGCTGTTTAATAGAGAAAGAATGAGAAAGGCTGTTATGTTGCACAAAAGAAACTAAATATTGAGAAGGTCAGTATTGTTTTGAAAACTTTAACTGTCATTTCTAAAGTTTAAGTAACACTACGGAGAGAAATGGTAAGACGTGGCTAAAAACTTTTAACTGTGTTGTCCAGGCCGATGACTTTCCACCAGACTTGACCACTGATTGTCTGTTTATTAGGTTGAGTTTCCTGAAGCCCGAATCTTTGAAGAAACCCTCAATATCCTCATCTATGAGAATAGTAGAGCCTCTGGTCCCGGGGGCTTAAACCTTTTAGATTCAAGAGGCTCGGGTGCATCGCTAGGAGCTGGCCAATCAGAGGACGAGGGTGCTGTGGGAGGAGACAGGCGAGTAAGACGGATCCACGTAAGGAGGCATATAATGCATGATGAAAGAGGGCACGGTCAGCAAACTGTGTATAAGGACTAATAATGTGAAAACATAAGGTATGAGAGATTGGCTTGATGCATGTTGATTTTTTTTGTTTTTTAATTGAATGGTAACAGAATGAAAGAGATGTCCCTGATCATAGCAATAGCTGTGGTCGTTAGTTATTTCATTAAATGTCATTAGATAGACCTGTCCAGGGTGGACCCCACCTCTTGTCCAATGGCAGCTGGGTTTGGTTCCAGCCCTCCTGTGACCCTCATTAGGAAAAGTGGTATAGATAATGGATGGGTGGATGTATTTAGATGTCACTGCAGAAATGTAAGGGTTGTTGACTGATTTGTAACTGAAGTGTGGTTGTTCAAGATAAAAAAAAAATGCTTCTGTTTACAAGAAAATAAACTTTGTATATTACTTACATAGGAAATGTGTAAAAGTACCTGGGACATGAAAACTGGAATAAAAATGACTTTGCAAATGTTAAGGAGCCTCCTGCACAATGGGCCTCAAAACCCAGCTCCCAGCCTAAAGGTGGCATTCAGCCAATGACCTACTGTTAATGCAAGTGTTAACATGCACTGGCAACATCTTCTGTGTTTGTCCTGTAGGAAACACTCAGTCACCTTATTGAGGTTGTGAAATATCTGTTGCCTTTTCATAAGTTGGACTGAAATGCTGCCTGACAGTGATGAAGTTTAGTTTAGAGACGTTAACACTGGAATAAAACTGAGTAGCCATTTTTAGCGAGGTTTTCCAAGAAAGAGAGTGTTGAGCAGCTACATTTTCTTTATTTAAATTATTACTGCTGATGCATCAGTATGTTTTTTTATGAATTAATTTATGAACCTAATTTATTGTTTGGTATGTAACCTTTGTATAGTATGCAATCTTTGTTTTGACTAGTGCACAAGTGAATTTTAATTTTGGGAGTGATATGATGCATTCAACAGCACACATTAGAATTTACCCCTGTAAATTACTAAATCCTGATAGATTTCAGTTTTATGTTTCAAAAGGAACCATGACCATTTCTTTGCTGTTGTATGTTATTCTGAGCCATGATTTTTAACTTGCGCTTTATGTCACATACCAAACCACTGAAATGTGTTCAAATACCATCCATTGTTTATAAAGGCAGTTAAAACCTGTTTGTGTTTTCCTCAGGGAGAGGGTAAGTATTTGTTTCCCCAATATCCACCACTGTCTTGTGTAAACCTAATCTCTGAATATTACAAAACACATTGAGAGCAATATGTATCCTCATCACCTTGGAATACCTTCAAATATGCACTAATATATCTTCTGTCAAATAGAGGTCATGGGAATATTCTGAATAAATGAGTTGTGAAATCCGTCTTTATTTTGCTGGTCTTATTTTTTCCTTTACTTTCCAAATATAATACATGTTACACATATAAGTTACTAAAAGTGGATGATGTTTACTGGGCCTGCTATTCTTACCTGATGTGCTTCAAAAGAATTTTATGTATGTTTTCTTGGCTAGGTCCCCGTTGAAGAGGTTTTTAATAATCTCAATGGGTTTGTTTTTTTACCTGGTTAAATAAAAATAACACATTTCATTCATTCAAAATGCTGTTTATTTGAATGTAATCAGGCCCGGCCCTAAGCAATTTGGCGCCCTAGGCAAGATTTCAGGTGGCG